TTCCAGTTCTGTTCTAGTTCTGTTCTAGTTCTGTTCTAGTTCTGTTCTTTCTGTTCTAGTTCTGTTCTAGTTCTGTTCTAGTTCTGTTCTAGTTCTGTTCTAGTTCTGTTCTAGTTCTGTTCTAGTTCGTTCTAGTTCTGTTCTAGTTCTGTTTCTAGTTCTGTTCTAGTTCTGTTCTAGTTCTGTTCTAGTTCTGTTCTAGTTCTGTTCTAGTTCTGTTCTAGTTCTGTTCTAGTTCTGTTCTAGTTCTGTTCTAGTTCTGTTCTAGTTCTGTTCTAGTTTTCTGTTTCTAGTTCTGTTCTAGTTCTGTTCTAGTTCTGTTCTAGTTCTGTTCTAGTTCTGTTCTAGTTCTGTTCTAGTTCTGTTCTAGTTCTGTCTAGTTCTGTTCTAGTTCTGTTCTAGTTCTTTTCTAGTTCTGTTCTAGTTCTGTTCTAGTTCTGTTCTAGTTCTGTTCTAGTTTGTTCTAGTTCTGTTCTAGTTCTGTTCTAGTTCTGTTCTAGTTCTGTTCTAGTTTCTGTTCGTAGTTCTGTTCTAGTTCTGTTCTAGTTTCTGTTCTAGTTCTGTTCTAGTTCTGTTCTAGTTCTGTTCTAGTTCTGTTTCTAGTTCTGTTCTAGTTCTGGTTCCTAGTTCTGTCTAGTTCTGTTCTATGTTCTCGTGTTCTAGTTCTGTTTCTAGTTCTGTTCTAGTTCTGTTCTAGTTCTGTTTCTAGTTCTGTTCTTAGTTCTGTTCTAGTTCTGTGTCCTATGTCGTTCTAGTTCTTGTTCTAGTTCATGTTCTAGTTCTGTTTATAGTTCATGGTTCTAGTTCTGTTTCTAGTTCTGTTCTAGTATGTTCTAGTCTGTTCTAGATCTGTTCTAGTTCTGTTCTAGTTCTGTTCTATTCTGTTCTAGTTCTGTTCTAGTTCTGTTCTAGTTCTGTTTAGTTGTCTAGTTCTAGTGTAGATCTGTTCCTAATTCTGTTCCTAGTTTCTGTGTACTAGTTCTGTTCTAGTTCTGTTCTAGTCTGTTAAGTTTCGTTCTAGCTTCTGTTCTAGTTCTGTTCTAGTTCTGTTTAGTTCTGTGTAGTTCTGTTCTAGTTCTGTTCTAGTCTGTTCTAGTTCTGTTCTAGTTCTGTTCTAGTTCGTTCTAGTTCTGTACTAGTTCTATTCTAGTTCTGTTCTTGTTCTGTTTTAGTTGTGTTACTATTTCTCTTCTAGTTCTGTTCTAGTTCTGTTCTAGTTCTATTAAAGTTCTGCTTTAACAAAATTGTATCCTCCTGCCCCACTGTCCTTTGTGCATTTATTTTGCTTCCGCTTGGTTTTATATTCTTTTTCATCCTCATCTAATGCTTTTTAGCTGTCTTTATTTGCCACACAAAAAGGCAACATTTGATTTTATGGTGAAACCTCATCATGTTTTCTCATGCAATTTTCGCCATTATCACCTCTGTCTGTAGTTAAATATAGTTCCGGGCATAGATGTTTTTTTTTTTTTTCTTCACATATTGTAATTTTAAATTGTGTATCGTTATCTGGGGGTGAGAGTAAGGGACTTTTAAAACAGCTAGATAATTCTAAAAAAAGGTGTCGGTAGTCTTTCTTCCTTGGTAAAATGACTTTTAGCTGTTAATAATGCTACTGTATGTGTTAGTTATTGTATTAAAATGGTCATAGGAAAAGTTAAGTATGAAACAAAGGGAAATTCTGAGACTGAATGAGATAAATAGTGTTAAGAATTTAAATTTTTTTAATTTTAAATTTACTTCAGATTTAGTTTTTTTTTGTGTAATATTAAGATTCTAATAAATTATATCCATCTAAATTAAAAAAAAATCCTTTTCACATTCTTACACTAAATTAATTCAAAAGTTTACAACTTGTATTTTTGTATGCACAATTTTGACTGTATTAACACAATTCAACTTTGTACAATACAACAACGACACGGAAGAGCCAACAACAATAATAAAAAAACTTAAACTAAAAAACAACAAACAGAAAAAAGTAAAAATAATAAAATTGTTGTCATAAATAATCTAGAGCAGAAAATGAACACACAACTGCAGTTACAAATGTTCTCTAACATGTTTCTGTTAAACAGTGAAAATCCTTTTTACAACCATGTTATAGTTGTTGTGTTACACGACGACACTTCCTGAGTTAATTTTTAGTTTTTTTTTATACAAAAAGAAATAAATGCACTTTTACACATACACTTATACTTATTTATACAAAAGGGTAATAAAAATAGCAACACACCAACACTCTTAAGTAAAAAAGCTAAAGGAAAAAAACAAAAGGAAAATATGGCTGCAACAAGAACAAGTTTTTCTTGTTTTGTTTTGGAGAGAGAATGGTAGTTTTCTTGGCAAACAACCTTGAACTGTTTTTATGTTTTCCCTCTCTTACTCTCTTGCTCGTACGTTGTTTTTTGCTCTGTTGAAGATTTTCCTTGCCATTTAGTTGTTGTTAAGTATGAAATGTTCTTTTACTTCTAGTTTTTCGCTTTATTTAGTTTAGTTTTTTAATAGTTTTTCCTTATTTTCGGTTATTAATTAAGCATTATGTCATGTTAACAGGAAGTGCTGCAGGTTTGAGGGGAAAGAGGAAAATGGCGTAAAGGAAAAGCATAAAAATATATAAAACACAACTTTTAATGGCAACTTTCGTCTGCAATGTTGCAACTATGAAATGACAGTGTTTCTAAGACAGGGATAAAAGGGCAAAATGTGTTAAATTTTGGGCAATTATAATGAGTACTTTTAAATGTAAAATATTCTAAAAAATACTAAAGTGGTTTAACAAAAAAGTAAAAAGTACTATTTTCCATACAAAAAGGTACTTTTTCTATTGCTGTTCCTTTTAAAGGTTTCAGCTTTTAGAAACGTATACACAAAAGTTGTTGCAGTCACGACATAAGCTTTCTTTTTGTTTTATGCATCATTTACGACTGACAGCAGTGACACTCTTTTCATTATACACCCCCTATAGCCTTCTTACCCCTTCCATCCTTTTCTATGCCAACATTTACTCTGAAAAGTTTTAAGTTTCCTTTGCTTTCGTTTTTGTTTTTTTTTTTTTTTAAACTTTAGTTATTTAGTTGCTGTTGTTATAGTTGTATAAAAATTCTTTGGTCCACAAAAATTTTTTTTTTTGGTTGCATTCGTTTGCTCGTTTTAAATATCTACTGACAGCCACATGATAAATGAATAAAACTGAAACGGGGAACATGATCTTTAAAATGTTTTCTTGAATATCGTTTTTTTTTTTTTATTTATTTGAAATATTTTTTTTTTATGTTTTTCGTTTCCTTTTCACGAAACATGTAGAATTTTTTTAATTTTCTTGGTTTGGGGTAATACTGTGTTGGTGTGTATTAATACAATTAGACAGTGGAGCAAAAGAAAGTTTTATTATTAAAAAATAAATATATATATACAAATTCCAAAGCTCTAAAAAAAGATTTTTTTAATTAAAACAAAAGTAACCAAATATCAGCAATCAATTTATTATCCAATGTACAACTACAATACTTGTTTCTTATACTCTTAACTTTATGGGTTTGTGCTGATGTTTGTAACATCCAAAATTATTGGTCCTACACCAACCTTAAAGTATACCAATCGGCTCAGAATCACTTTCTGAGTCGATTGAGCAATGTCCTTCTGTTCGTCCGTCTGTCTATCTTTCTGTCCGTCCGTATGTCTTTCTGTCCGTCCGTCCGTCTGTCCTTCTGTCAGTATGTATGTCTGTCTTTCTGTCTGTCTGTCTGTCTGTCTGTCTGTCTGTCTGTCTGTCTGTCTGTCTGTCTGTCTGTCTGTCCGTCCGTCCGTCTGTCTTTCTGTCCGTCCGTCTGTCTTTCTGTCTGTATGTCTGTTCGTCTGTGTGTCCATGTAAACCTTGCGCGAACGCTACAGGTCCCCCATATAAAGTCCCCTTCAGAAAATTACTAGATGGTTAAAATTCATTTATAAACACTAACACGTAAATCCTTCTACCAAAATTTATATGGATAGGCCCATATTAACCCCATGCCCCCATATTATCCCTCTTTTAGAAAATCCCTTTATTGTCAACAAATTGTTAAAAAAATCTCTGAACTAAGGTAAAAATTATCAAAAAATGCTCAAAATTTGTAACATATTCACTGGTGTAGGGTGTCATAGCCGACCCATGCACGACTATAAATTCTTAGTTGTTTTTTTTTTTTTGTTAAGTTTTATTTTATTTTTTTTCCATCATCTTCGAAAACATATTTTGCATGACTTTGGCTTTCTAAGTAGTTTACATGCTTCATTACGACAACGACTACTACTGCTAGAGTACAATAACAGAAACAACAATGTACAAAATTGTTGCAGTCAGCCAACGTTGTTACAACAACAAAATTCTTGTCATTTTCTTTAATGGTACTTGAATAGAAATTTTTTGAGACTTTAACCCCCCAAACAACTGCTAAACAAATTGGCATCACCTTGAGTGTAAAGTAGTAAAGGGAAAACTCACAAGAAAACAAAAAAAAAAATATAACTACGACAACGAGAAGAAAATTGTCACGTTTTCCCTAATAAAATGGAAATTTTTTTCCTAAAAGCATGAGAAATACAAGATGATAGCAAGTGTAGGTGTGTGTGTGTGTTGAAACAAATGTTAATGTTTGTGTATTAAGCTTAAATTGAGGCTGAAAATAGTGATACAACATTAAGCTACCAGAAACAACCCCTACAAAGTGAATACCTAAAACAACCTCTACCCCGCAACGAAAGGAGGACTCTTATGCATATAGAAAATAAAAAGACAACAGTTTTCTACTGCATTATTACTGCACATAGAACAAAGTTAACTACTTTTGGCTGTTACACGTAACTTTTGTAAAATAAAAAGAAAGCAAATTTACTTTATTTACCTCTATATATGCTAAACTGAAGACTCATAATAAATGCTAAGAATGAGGGGTTATTTCCCTATGAGTCTATGTATAGTGGTGGTTGCCATCTCATTTGCTTAGTTCGTTTTTACTTACATTTAAAATTCTGTTGCTTTTCACTATTCGTTAGAATATCATTAAGTTTTAAGAAGTTGTGCATATAACCTCCGTCCTTCATCATGTTGCCATTTCAAAAGATCATTAGGAGTCCATTAGTCATTAGAAGTTATGATGGCATATACATACACTCACGCAGTCAAAAGTTTATTGTTGTTGCTTGCTACCTAACCCTGCAAATTCTGTGCGGCTATACTGCTCTAGACTGCACTTAACCATCTTTGGTCTTATTACTGCCTATAGAATTAGACATGTTACTAGTTATTGTGCTTTAAGATTCCATGCTTCACAAAGCGACTACTAATAGACAATCGACTTTTTAGATACTTTAAAGTAACCTCTATACATTACCAAGAGTCCACAAATGTCAAATTCCTTGTAATATGTATATGTGTATAACGACTCCCTGTAAAACTACTGGGAATTTTCTAAATGAGAACAAACTATAAGTGAAACGCTGGCAGAATAGAGGAAGTAGCAAAAAGTGCAGTAAAATAAAAGGTACAACATTTTGAACTTTGTTGTGAACTTAACTTAAATAGTTGTAGTAGTTGGTACTTATGCTCACTTGCTTAATTTTCAATTTTTCACTTAATAGGCTGGAAGGGAAAACTGGCTGTAAAAGGTAGGAGGGCGATATTATGGACAGATGGTGCCTAAAACAATGCAATCTAAAAACTGAGTAATATTTGGTCTACCCATGGTCTAGTCTATAGTCTAGTTATATCTAGTTTATAGCCTAGTCCAGCTTATAGTCTAGTCTAGTTTATAGTCTAGTACATAATTTAGTCTATAGTCTAGTCTATACTGTAGACTAGTCTAGTCTATAGTCTAGTCTAGTCTAGTCTATAGTCTAGTCTATAGTCTAGTCTATAGTCTAGTCTATAGTCTAGTCTATAGTCTAGTCTATAGTCTAGTCTATAGTCTAGTCTATAGTCTAGTCTATAGTCTAGTCTATAGTCTAGTCTATAGTCTAGTCTATAGTCTAGTCTATAGTCTAGTCTTAGTCTAGTCTATAGTCTAGTCTATAGTCTAGTCTATAGTCTAGTCTATAGTCTAGTCTATAGTCTAGTCTATAGTCTAGTCTATAGTCTAGTCTATAGTCTAGTCTATAGTCTAGTCTATAGTCTAGTCTATAGTCTAGTCTATAGTCTAGTCTATAGTCTAGTCTATAGTCTAGTCTATAGTCTAGTCTATAGTCTAGTCTATAGTCTAGTCTATAGTCTAGTCTATAGTCTAGTCTATAGTCTAGTCTATAGTCTAGTCTATAGTCTAGTCTATAGTCTAGTCTATAGTCTAGTCTATAGTCTAGTCTATAGTCTAGTCTATAGTCTAGTCTATAGTCTAGTCTATAGTCTAGTCTATAGTCTAGTCTATAGTCTAGTCTATAGTCTAGTCTATAGTCTAGTCTATAGTCTAGTCTATAGTCTAGTCTATAGTCTAGTCTAGTCTATAGTCTAGTCTATAGTCTAGTCTAGTCTAGTCTATAGTCTAGTCTATAGTCTAGTCTATAGTCTAGTCTATAGTCTAGTCTAGAGTCTAGTCTATAGTCTAGTCTATAGTCTAGTCTATAGTCTAGTCTATAGTCTAGTCTATAGTCTAGTCTATAGTCTAGTCTATAGTCTAGTCTATAGTCTAGTCTATAGTCTAGTCTATAGTCTAGTCTATAGTCTAGTCTATAGTCTAGTCTATAGTCTAGTCTATAGTCTAGTCTATAGTCTAGTCTATAGTCTAGTCTATAGTCTAGTCTATAGTCTAGTCTATAGTCTAGTCTATAGTCTAGTCTATAGTCTAGTCTATAGTCTAGTCTATAGTCTAGTCTATAGTCTAGTCTATAGTCTAGTCTATAGTCTAGTCTATAGTCTAGTCTATAGTCTAGTCTATAGTCTAGTCTATAGTCTAGTCTATAGTCTAGTCTATAGGATAGGGCCGTGGCTCTGGCTACTATCTATAGTCTAGTCTATAGTCTAGTCTATAGTCTAGTCTATAGTCTAGTCTATAGTCTAGTCTATAGTCTAGTCTATAGTCTAGTCTATAGTCTAGTCTATAGTCTAGTCTATAGTCTAGTCCAGCGGTTCCCACCATTTTTTACTTCGCGGACCCCTTGAGGAATTTATTTAATTTCACGGACCCCCATACATATTTTGATATCTTATTGTTATAAATAACACTGTGATACAAAAGTGAAGAAAAATAAAATGCAGGCGTTCTCATATACCAATTCTATTTCGTTATAGTCCATAGAGTACGAATATATTTTTAGTTTTCCCCTATCACTTCGTTAACTTACTTTTTAAGAGCAAAAGATGCGAAAAAGAGCCATTTTTGAAGTTTTAAATTTGAAAAATCATAAGTTTAGTAGTTTTCATCCGATTTTCAAATCCGATTTTTTTTTTAATGATACAAGTGTCTTTTAATCCAAAAAAAGAAATCCAAAATTTATGGTCAAATGTCTGAGTTACGGTCGTTTAAGTAAAAAACTCACACTTTTTTAAAAAATTTTCATTTTCATCATGCTCTACTTTGACCATGAGGCAGTGAGTTCATCTTTTATTACTTTCCTGAAGAATCACATAAAGGAAGGTTTCTAAAACTTGTTATTTCATAAAAATCTATGAAAAACTGGATAATTTATGCCAATTTTTCTAATAGCATGTTTCTCGAATTTTTGGTTTTCTCCATACAAATTAATTTTTGTATAAAAATGTTTATAAACATTTTTTAAACTTGTTACAAAGAAAACCAGAAACATGAACGTTTTTGTATGGAAGAAATATGCTATATTTTTATAAAACTTAGCACAACTCATAACCTTTTTCATCGATTATCATAAATTGACCATCATTGGAAACCCAACTTAATGTGGCTTTTTTCAAATGTAATAAAAGCTAAAGTTATTGCTTCATGGCCAACGTAGAGCAGTATGAAAATTAAAAATTGTGAAAAAAGTGTGAGTTTTTTTACTTAAATGGCCGTAACCAAGACATTAATCATAAATTTTGGATTTATTTTTTTGGGTTGAAAGACAACACTTGTATCTTTAAAACAAAATATCCAATTTGAAAATCGGTTGCAAACTACCAGACATATATTTTTTTAAAGTTAAAACTTCAAAAATAGCTCTTTTTCACAACTTTTGCTCTTAAAAAGGAACTAAACGAAGTGATCGGGAAAAATTAAAAATAAATTCCTACTCTATGGACTATAACGAAATGGAATTGGTATATGAGAACCCCTGCATTTTTTTGCTGTATCACTGTGTAATTGTTCGAAAATTGTCTTAGTCCTGGTCCATAAACCCTATAAAATATTCCCGTACATTGAGAACATTTAGTATTTCGGAGATGTTTTCAATTTCATGGTTTTAAATATAGAATGACTTCTAACATGATGTTTAATTTTATGATCGTGAGAGCTTTCATGTTCATTTCTCGTCAAGGTAGAGAAAAGGTTTCTTTAACAAGTATTGTCGACATGTGCTTAAAGAGTCATGTTTCTAAATTTTTTTGCGATTGCATAGGAGTGAGCTGAGTATGTAAGCTAAATTTTCGGGAAAATATGTGAAAGTTAGACTTCTTCGATGTTGTTGCGGAATGCGTTACCCACATAAAATATGACTTGAACTCTTTGCGAATGTACTGTGAATTTGGATCTTAAATTTGAATTTTAAAATACCTACGAATTATTTTACTGCGTGGTTTTGACTATTTACGCAAAACGCTATGAATTTTCTGATGTTGATTTAATAATATTGGACAACAAAATGAAGTTAAAATCTGTGTATCACGTTGGAATAGAATATTTATATTTAAAATTAACTAGATTAACACTTTTGCTTACAATTTAAAAAAATATTATGAAATGTGACCTAACTTCATATTCCGGGATACTAGTATCAGTATTTAATTCTAAGGCAAATCATTATCCGTCTGCTATAAAAACATTTATATTTATAAAAATTACAAATCACGTAATACTTTACTTTATAAAAGTGAAACAATAAATTTGTAGCGCCTAGCTTCATCCTGATAAACGACCGAAACAATAAAATTCAAAGAGTCACCAACAAATCTGGGATTATTGAATAAAAATTGTGTATTTTAGTATTTATGAAAAATTTGGAGATATTTTTAATATTTTGTAACATATAGAGAATATTTTTTATTCATGATTTTTTTCGTTCGTCTTCGCGGACCCCCTAGGATTTTGCTACGGACCACTAGGGGTCCGCGGACCCCCTTTTGGGAACCGTTGGTCTAGTCTATAGTCTAGTCTATAGTCTAGTCTATAGGATAGGGCCGTGGCTCTGGCTACTATCGGGGTCAGCAGGTGGCGGATAGCTGAACGACCTACAAATATGTAGGCCAGCTGCGATAGATAAGCAGTCCCCGACCATGAGCGGCAGAATTCGAGGGCGTGCTAGAAAAAGGTTACATGAGCCTAATGACGATTCTGTGACATGGCGATTAGATGCCGCCAGTAAGTAAGCATCCCCCACAAGAGGTACCCTCTAGAGAGGTGTAATTAGAAGAGTGACGTCTTCGTGGTTCCTCTAGTCATATTTAAACCCAGAAGCGTCTGTTTCATATTGAACGGCTCTCTGGTCAGCGTCTGTTTCCCAAGTAAGGGGCGGCTGCGAATCAATATCCTGGCGGTTAGGTCAAAAACGCTACGGGTAGGATCCCGGAATAACAAAACAAACATGGAAAAGTTTAATAAGGAAAATTCAATTACGGTGCAGGGAGTAATGACCCCAGTACCGGCGGCTTTGGGTAGTGCGCGAACAGGCTACCAGTCGTCGAAATCCAGCGCCTGCAATGTTACCCCGGTAAGCTTGGCTAAGGTAACAGATAATGCTACAAGCAACAATCACCAGAAGGAGTGCAATAAAGGGGGAGAAAATAGCGACCAACCTATTGGTGGACAGGAACACTATTTTACTCCAGTGAGCAGTTTTTCTCGCAGTGGTACTACAAATCAAGGTGGGAAAAATCAAATAAACCCTTTCCAAAGAAGTGCGGCTACAAAAAGAACTCCACCGCAAACTACTAGCAGCAAAGAAAA